AAAATATTTTACATATTTGTTCTCATTTTAATTCAAACATTTAAATAAAAAAATGACTTTATTTTTTCTAGATATATTTATTAAAGGCAACAATGACAAATATATTTCGAAGTGAAGAAATGACATTTGAAATTATTCAACTAACATATAACCAAGATTTTTAATCTTTATTTTCAAATTTTCTTTATTAACTCTTTCAGTCCTACATTTTTCTACAGAGAAACAAGATTTCAATACAAAAAAAACAGTAGTAGTTCTTATTCATATAGTAATCTCTGATGTAATCAGAAATATATAAAGATACATTACAAATGGAACGTATACCAAGTCTCACGTTCAATATTATAGGATATACAAAATCACATATTTTCTTCAAGACTGTTTTGTGATTGTGATATTCATTAGATAGGTCAAGAAAAATTTCTTATACTATTTTATAAATGAAAAACATTTTTCAAACAATTATTGAATATTTTTGGAAGATATGCATTGAAAAGATAAAATAAGATAAATTATTTATTTATGAAAATAATAGAATATATTTAATATATTCAATATTTAAATCAAAAACATAACAGTGTTGTATGACTTACTTTTCTTGATTGTTATTTTAGAACAAATTTCAATTTTGTTTTTTTTATAATTCACATAACTGTATTGATTAGTTTCATGAATTAAATGATCAATAATTTTCGTTAGTAGTGAAATGTTGATAGAATTGCTTTTATTATTTGCCAAAGTTAATATATAATCAACATGAGAAATAAGAAAAATAATAGATAGGATACATTAGAAAGGCTAACAAATACATTGATCGAAAAGATTATGAACATACAAATGAATTTGTTGAAAACGTTTTCTAATATACAATAAATAGAAAAATGAATATTTTAATTATACATAATCGATGTACAAATTTCATATGAAAATATTTTTAATCGAAAAAAAATATTGAAATTTTGATTTAAATAAAGATTTATTCAATTGTATTTACAATCTGATGCTGCTTATTCTTGTATATCAGAACTAGGTGAATTAGGAATTTGTCAATTTCGTGATGTACATAGAAATTTTAATTTTAAAAGAATAATTCATAATTTTTAATTTGATAATTTTAGTTAAATCCGAATGTAAATGCATTTCAAAGAAAATTTGTTAATGAACTTCGACGTTGTGAAGAAATGGAAAGAAAAATTCGTAAAAAAAAACAAAACAAAACGATTTCGTGTTTCACATATTCAATCTTTTAAGGTTTTCTTGAAAGTGAAGTAAAGAAAGAACGAATTTCAATCGATGAATCAACTGAAAATCTCGACGCACCAAAACCACGCGAAATGGTCGTTCTTGAAGTAAAATTTGTAAATGAAATATTTCATGATTTCATTGTATTCCAATTCAAAGGCAATGATTGATAAATTAGATCATGATTTAAAACAAATTAATACAAATGCTGATGCTTTACGAAAAAATTTTAATGAATTAACTGAATTAAAATATAGTTTAATTATGACAGAAGAATTTTTTCAACAGGTAAAAGAAGAAAATCAAATGGAGCTGGTATATTTGATGATATGAATAATGAAAATAATCGAATTTTATCCAATGGAATGAAATTAGAGTAAAAGAAAAGTTTTTGAAAAAAGATTTGTAAGTGGAGTTATATCAAGTGAACGAATGAGTTCTTTTGAAAGAATGTTATGGCGTGTTTGTTTGTCGTGGAAATGTTTTTTTAAAATCAGCTAAAATTTCACAATTAATTGAAGATTCAATTACAGTTAAAAATCTTTTTATACTAATTTCATTCATTTAAATTTCATTTTAGAGTGAAAAAGTTCTTAAAGTTGTTTTTGTTGTGTTTTTTCAAGGTGAACAATTAAAAACACGTCATTCACAATTATGTGATCGATTGATTTGTCAAATGGATTTAAGAAGAAATCGAGTTTGTTATAATTTTTAAAACATAAGAAAACGGAAAATTCTTTCATTTATCGTCTTATTCATCAAACAAGACAAACGAGTGATTACACAATTAAAGAAAAATTCAAAACAATTCAAATAAATTTCATTTATTTATATTTTAATCTTAATAAATTTTTGGTTTTCTTTGCGAATTTATTTAACATCGAATTGATCTTGTGAAAAGAGTTCATTAAATATATTTCTTTTTTAAATAAAATAATGTTATCTATTCTAAAAAGTTTTGAATTGATTTATTCAAAGAACAAGGGAAGAAATAATACTATTTGAAATAAATCAGAAACTACGACAAGATGGAATAGAAAAAAAATCTTTTTTCATCGATCTTTGAAACAAAAAGATTTTTTCTTTTTTGTATATTATTGAAAACTGAATAAACAGAAATGACTTTACTTCAGAATATACAATAAACATTGATATTTTTCATCGAAATAATTCACTTGAGTATTTAATTGAACATTCGTGAAAATTATTGAAAGAAGATCATATAGACAGCTATAAGTAAAAGAAATATGAGAGAGATATCTATAAATAATTGTTACCAAGCAATGCAATAGCACACACATTTGTCCAATAAAGAAACAAATAGTTATTAATTGGACAGAAACAAAAAATGTATAGTGAAATAAATATGAAAATTTTTCTCGATGATGTTGATATTTTCTTGCAAATAAAGCTTTGACATTCTCTTAAATCTATGCTTTTTGTTTCAGAATAAATATTGTGACAATGCGTTTTATGCGTGAACGATCTGATTTTATATGTCTACATGGACGTCATCATATATCCTCATCTGTTCTTAATGCACCATGTATATCAATGAATGATAATACTGATGTTACACTAGATATTATTTAATTACCAAATGACATCACCATGGAAAATATTCTTGAAAGTTCAATATCTTCTTATATTTCTGAAGATACCAAACAATTTTTTACTGTAAATGCTTTAAATCTTGATAAAGCAACAAAAGGTGTTTTTCGTTGTGTGTCTGCTAAAGGAAATGGCACTTGTTTTCGAGTTGCAGCTACATGTGTGGCAACGAATTATCACGTTACACAATTGATTCTTACTCCTCGACCATATGATATACCAATGTTCATCGATGAAATGAACGTTGATTCTTCATTTAATATTATAAAATCATATTTTACTAGTGATGATTCTGAACAAAACAAATATCCAGCAGTAGAAAAATATAAATATAATGGTATAGATGATTCAATAGCTTTTCAACAACATATCAAGATAGATCCTTTATTGGGTGTCCAGAATGACTTTGATTACCCGGACTATTGTATGGTTTCATTAAAACTTCAATTGAAATCTTATATCTTATTTATACCATCTATGCGAATTGGCCAAGTGGGTCAAGGTGTTAAAGGTAAGAGATATTCATAAGCTATAGAAGATTCATAAAAAAAAACAAGCGAAAAGTCTTTATAAACACTTCCCAGGACGATGGTTCCTGAAGCATAATTCTATGAATTTCCGGCAAAATCCCTGAAGAAACTCGCCATTTTTGGGCGGAACCCGCCCGGAATCCGATGGAGAAATGAGGTAACCGTGTCGGGCTGACGGTTTTGACATGTTCCTGTCAGTTCCGACCTAAACCAGATAAATCCGGTCACCAGATCTGTACAACGAAAATACTGCTTCCATGAAATCTCCGGAATACCACGGAACCGGCCGTTTCCGTGCTGGATTATTCGACCTGGTTTTTTCATTAAAAAAAAGAACCTTTTTTTTTATTCTAGTCATTGATTTAAAGCCGACTGAAATTGATCAACAATTAATTTTGTTTTAGGTATGCGTCAAGAGAATATCTCTACTATCAGATATAGAAATTCTTTGACAAATATATATCCGATCGTAGAAAATCTTATGGGTGGTTTTGGTAAACGTAAGTTATTCTCTTGAACTATATGCAGAATTGATCAATTTGGTTGAGATACATTTTGTATCAATTTTTGACTTATTCTTGTTCAACTTTCTATCAATATTTGAATTGAATATTCAAAAAAATTTTAAGAATGTCCTTTTGTAAAACTGAGAAATCGTGAGAACGAAATTTTACGCGCCAATATTTGTCCATTACATGATTTCGACTTGAATAGTGATTCAGTTTAGATCTCAGCGACAAACCCAATCGACAATCAAGTTCAAAATCTATTCAATATTTTTCATTTAAAATTTTTTAATACGTACAGTTAGTTATGATCGAATTCTTGCACCATTCAAACTAGCTGATAACTAACAATCATGGATTGAAGATTCTAAAAAAACGTTTACTATTGATAATCAATGTATATTATCAAATGAATGTCTTTTAAATGGATCATCCGGAGGACTTGTTTTATTAGATGGATTTCAAACAAGTTCAGCAATCGATCGAAATAGAAATGAATGGACTTTTGTTGAATATTCAGCTATTTATTTTGGTGGTGAATATGTATGTTTAAAATAATATCATTTATTTCAATGAATTAAACTTAAAAAATCCTTTCTATTCAATGATTTTAGGTTCCATATCGTGAATGTTTATCAATTAATCCGATCAAACGTCAATGGTACATTAACGTGAACGATTTGGTAGATTTACCCCATTGTGCAACTTGCACAAATGAGCCAGACAAACGAAACGCAATTGTGTACAATTTCGCTTTGACAGTCCATCATCCATCAATAATAGAATCTTATTGCATGTTGATAAAAGATTTAATTAACACATTTGACATTGATCAAATAAATTTTGAATGAACTTTGTTTTTATATTTTTTTCATTTTTGATTCATTCATTTTCGAAATACAACTTCTCGTAAAAAAGTGCTTTTTTTATCGTTTAGTTTTAGAATCTCAAGGCTTAGTCTAAGAAAATATCTTGAAGGTGATAGAAATAATTTATTTACAAATCAAATAACCTATTCCACTGGTTCATCATATCGTTGATACAATTGTGGACAACCCATAATATTTTCATCCACAACGGAGTTCTCATAAACAACTTTTAGAGATAAAAAATTCTTCAGTTTAAAATAAAGTAGTGTCATCTATTCTAAACTGGTATTAATTGTTGCTTCTTTTGAAGAACAAAAGAAAGAAATAATGATGTATTTAAATAAATAAAAGATAAGAGATAAAAGATAAAAGATAAAAGTTAAATAAAATGGAAAGTTTATTAAGAAA